AGTAACAGAGGTGGAAAACATGGTCCTGTCAAAGTTGTTCCTTCTCTTTGTGGTGAAGGTTTGAGAAATTTTGTTCAGTCAGCTGAAGTTGAAGGTCATAAGTCAACCAGCTCATTAACAGTAAATGTTCCTGCTAATTCCCACTACATAAAGAGGACAGGAGCTCAGGAGTCAAGACCCTGTCCGAACGGCCACATGAAAGACAAGAAGCATAAGGATGATGAGGCAGAAGGTTTGACCGCGCCTCCTCTAAGAAAGACCAGAGGAGCTCATACCGGAGTTTTTCCCACCGCACGGAAGTTTCCGGGTTCTGGGAATCTTGTGGAAACAGTTTCTCACATCTTGCAACACATGAATTGGGGCTCAGAGACAGAAGAGTTTCTTCGGAAACTTGATTGTTCATTAAATGTCTATCAAGCGAACCAAATTCTTAAGAAGCTCCAAGATCATTCAGTAGCCCTTGAATTTTTCCACTGGCTGACCCAACAGCACGGGTTTAAACACGATGGGCATACCTATACCACTATGGTTGGCATCCTTGGACGTGCCAGGCAGTTTGGGGCTATAAACAAGTTGCTCCAGCAGATGGTCAATGACGGATGTCAACCAAATGTGGTGACGTATAACCGGATCATTCACGGGTATGGGCGGGCAAACTACTTGGGCGAAGCATTGGCTGTCTTTGACCAAATGCAGAAAGCTGGGTGTGAGCCGGACCGGGTCACTTACTGTACACTCATTGACATTCACGCAAAGGCAGGATATCTCGGTGTTGCCATGGACTTGTACCAAAGAATGCAAACGGTCGGCCTTTCACCAGACACATTCACTTACAGCGTCATCATTAACTGCCTGGGCAAAGCAGGCCACCTGGCGGATGCTCATAAGCTTTTCTGCGAAATGGTCAACCATGGGTGCATGCCAAACCTGGTAACATATAATGTCATGATTGCTTTGCATGCCAAGGCAAGGAACTATACGACTGCTCTAAACATTTACCGGGACATGCAGAATGCCGGGTTTGAGCCGGACAAGGTGACCTACAGCACAGTAATGGAGGTTCTCGGGCATTTTGGGCACCTAGAAGAAGTGGAAGCAGTATTTTCTGAGATGAAGAGAAAAAACTGGGTCCCGGATGAGTATAACTACGGCATCATGGTGGACCTGTGGGGAAAGGCTGGGAATCTTGAAAAGGCAATGGAGTGGTATCAAGCCATGCTTGATTCTGGTCTATGCCCAAACGTGCCCACTTGCAACTCCCTCCTTAGCGCTTTCCTTCGGGTCCACCGATTATCCGATGCATATTACTTGCTCCAGACCATGCTAGGTTTGGGTCTCGCTCCATCTTTACAAACCTACACCTTGCTACTCAGCTGTTGTACGGATGAAGCGCATGCATCACTCGACATGGGATTCTGTTACGAGCTGATGGGAATCACAGGTCACCCGGCCCACAAATTCTTAGTGACAATGCCGTCCGCTGGAGCAGACGGGCGGAATGTGAGGGACCACGTTACCCGGTTCTTGGATTTGATGCACAGCGAAGATAGGGACAGCAAGAGGGGACTCGTGGATTCAGTTATTGATTTCCTTCACAAATCTGGGCTCAAAGAGGAAGCCGCCTCTGTCTGGGAGGCGGCAGCAGTGAAGAACATATACCCTGATGCCGTACGAGAGAAAGGTGCCCTTTACTGGCTGATAAATCTTCATGTGATGTCAGATGGGACTGCTGTGACGGCTCTTTCAAGGACACTGGCCTTGTTTCGCAGACATATGCTTTCCTCTGGAGTCTGTCCAAACCGGATTGATATAGTGACTGGGTGGGGCCGGAGGAGCAGGGTGACAGGTACTTCTCTTGTGAGACAAACGGTACAAGATTTGCTCAGCTTGCTTAATTTTCCATTTCTGCCTGGTAATGGTAACTCTGGCTGTTTCGTGGGGTGTGGACAGCCCCTTGGTAATTGGTTGGTCCAACCTTACGTCGAGCGCATGCATTTGCTATAGCTATTTATTATGTTCTTCATAGTCCGTAATATGAGGTGTGATACCAGTCAGATCAGGGTTTTTATTGAAATTTGGAACCGATCATTTTGTAACATGAACTGCATGCATCTCTTTATGGATTAGTGGTTTGATGTACGTTTGCTTGTGCCGCTTTTTATCCCATTGGTATTGCAGCTCATACTCTAGGTTCTGTTTTGATCCTTAGAATGCAAGGAATGAAAATGGCGAAGCTTGGGGATTTTTCTTTTAAATTATGGGAAGTCCTTCAAAGTTCAAACTCAATGAATCAATTTTAGATCTTTGTTCAGACTCTTTTTATCAGAATCTATAAAAGATCTCTATCCGAACTCCTTTAATTTGTATATTTCTGTTATATACTCTCTTTGTCACAATGGACTTTGCCAACTTTTTTTTAGTTGTCCCCAAAACTTTGTCCAATCCAAACTTGGACAAAGTTTACCGGGATAGAGGTAGTAAAAGACCAAGTACATGTGCTCGTTGATAATCTGTGTGTGATGATGCCAGCACGATGCTGACTGTGACAGCGTCAACGCATGCAGCGGAGTGAAATCAGTCATGTTTACTCTTATTGGATTGCCGATTTCAGTTAAGTATGGTGTCAAGCGGAGGCTAACAGTGACACACGGTACCATTGGCTTTCAATAGGTGCCCTTGGCCTTCAATGCTTGGGCTTGACTTGCAGCCTCATTCTCTTTGGTTTGTCTCTAATCCTTTAAGCCTAAGGGTATGTTGCAATATACGGGAAATTTAGAGTCATATATGACTTCATCATGGAGTCATATGTCATGTCACTCATGTGTGGGCGTTTGGCCTCACTATGACCGACCATTCATTCATAGTGAGTTCACCTTATAAATGAGTACTTTATAATAATGCCACATATTACTTTCATTCCATTAACATTGGGACAAGAAAAGGTGACACAGTTATTTGAAATTTTGTTGATATTGAATTCATAAAGTAAGAACAAAATTAAATTGATTTAGAACCACACAAATTTACCAAATTCGATATGAGACAATCTTATTGGGACGGACCGAAAAGGAATGATGGAACAATCTTAACGGGACGGAGGAAGTACTTTATAAGGTCATATGTCGAGTCATATATGATTCCCTTAATTTTTTTAGCAATATACTCCATTAATTTGAGTACTTAAACACTGTATTTTTTAAAAACTAATACGGAGTATAAATTTTGTTTCATTAGCCTATAATAGTATAATACGATAGTTAATGGTACTATAACTTAGCATTACACTATATAATGAGAACAAACAACGTACATTCACAAGTGTTTTAAAATGGACATTAGTGCATCGGTGATAGTGTGATACCAAATTAAAACAAAATCTTTCAGTTATAAATATTGGTGGAGTGAAGTGTATAACTATGTTATAAGAATCAGACTCGGACCTGGTAGGTCAGCCCGGAACTGGTGATCTGGCAATTATCCAGTCCAGTTGTCCTCTAGCACATTAGTAAAGTCAAAACCAGAAATAACTGTAAAACTGTCCACCAAACCGGAACCCAGCACCACCATCAACCGCAAGCACCACTGCCAAGCCGGAGTCGTCAAACTCCGGCCACCTCCCCGATTATGATAAAACTGGAAGAAATAAACAAGAAAGTAATTTATGTAAATCGTTCCAGCCTCTGAAAACATAATATGGAGTAATATTTATCTTCTGCAGATTTCTTTGTAAGTTAAAAAATGGATGTCTGAAACATGTAGTTATGCTCGAGTCTTCACGATTTAGAATGTTGATGCATTAAAATGTACCCATGACAGTTGGTGAAGTCTTTCGCATAAATGTTAAGATGCAACAAGTGCTAGATTAATATTGCTATGAATCATTTGTTAAGCAGGTGATGTTCATGAGAGGGCAAGATGTCCATATTGACAACATTATTACATACGGAGTATTTAATGTATAGATAAAAACTGGAAGGATCTCATTTTGAGATTCATCCCAATCCATGAGAAGTGGGGCTCTCAATCACTTCAACATATACAATTCCATTGGTATCAATAAGAGTTAGAGACAATCATGGGAAAGATCAGTGCTCTTTGCATCTTCCAGTTATGGATGGACCCGGGCCAGGCCGGTTCCGGTTCGGGCCTGGGCTCACCCGGGCTTTTGTTTGGGAAGTAGGGAACCAGAACCGGCCCAGGTGACCGGCGGTTCCAAGCCGGGCCGGTTTCCGGTTCAATGTTTTTTTTTTAATTTTCTTTTGTTTTTCTAAATTACCCCCTTCACCCCCCCAACCCCCCCCCCCCCCAAACACCCAGCCCTACCCGGTAGAAACTAAAAAAAAATGGAAAAAAAAGACCCGAACCGGCCGGGCTGGTTCAAGATTTTCAAGGCCCGAGCCCGAACCGGGAGTTGGGCGGTTCCGGTTGGCCCGAACCGGTCCCAAGACCGGGTACCAGGCCGGTCCGGGCGGCCCGAGTCCACCCCTACTAGTTCCAGTTTCACCTTACCCATGGCCAATTGTATCCAGAGTAAAGATTCCAACGAATATAGAAGAGAAAATGGTCAAATAAGGCCTACTATTATGAAATCGTCACATAAGGCCATGTACTCAATAAAGTGTCATATAAATGCATCTAGTTGTAAAAAACAATCAAATAAGTCCTAACGACCTGTTTACAACCTCCTAGTGTTCTTGAAACCATCTTTTTATAATAGATTATACGACACACGTCGAATATTTACCTAAGATTGGTCAAAATACAAGTCAAATAAATTGACACGTCCGATTTAAGCTAATATTGAGTGCATGGCCTAAGAGGTTGTCAACGGGTCATTAGGACTCATCCAATTGTTTTTTTATAAGTAGACGTATTTATATGATACTTTATTGAATAATTGAATGCATGACCTTCTGTGACGATTTCGTAATAGTAGAAGGCCTTATTTGACCCTTTTCTCAATATAGAATACCACATCAAACGATGTTTGCAAAGAGTCAGACAATAATTTAATGCTCCTATATACGTTCATCATGACCAATGGCTGTCTGGCTGAACTTGAATGTTGCAGTTGATACATATTGAAAGAAGAAGAAAAATCAATAAGGCAATGGCATCTCAGGCAACACATGGTAAAATTCTAGTAAATACTATGCAGCTTGCCTGTGGCTGTCACAAAGCAAGCAATAAGAAATAAGGTTGAGAGTTTCTGCGTTCTATTACCAAACGTACAAATTATTGGGCACCTCTACTCAATTCAAAGAAGTTCATAGACAGAAGTCAAAATGGACAGGCTGTGCATTGCTAACAAAGAAGGCTATCGGCATTAGTTCTCTCTATACAAAGCTTTCTTTTCAATGTGAAAAAAATGATCAATTTACCTTGCATGCCCGCCCCCTGTCTACAGATAGATAAATAGATAGATATAACTATGTTAAAGTTGTTGCCATCAGCGAGAGTCCACAAACTCCTCCGTGACAGGCTCAGAAAATGGTGGCTAATAGTAATTCATCCTCATAGAAACCGCCACATTATTGGACGGATCAATGGGACTACAAAAAGGGGAAAAAACAAAATTGGTGATGATTGTGAAACTTGTTCAATGGACTAGAAGGCTAAAAAAACATCGTGACTTGATCTTTTCCATGTCCCGTGATTCTCCCTCCTATCTTGAATTTGCACTTGGAAACGTATATACTCATCAGGCTAGGAACTCATTCAGCTTCTCTTCCTAATGATCTTTCACCTTTTGAAAGCGGTTATTATATATATATATATATATATATATCTATATATAGTACCGGCTGGAGATTGTACAATCATTTCAGAACTTAGTTATTACACAGCTTCGAAGAATAGGAGTTGCGGTTGCAAATGCCCTCTTTCACACATGGTGACAACATCAACCCAGCTGCCAATGACCTACCGGAACAGGCAACCATTATTATTTATTAGTTACTTATTATTAATATCAGTATCATCATCATCATCGTCATTATTATTATTATTATTATTATTATTATTATTATAATAATAAGATTATGACTATGACTGTATGCAAAACAGTGATAATCATCATCATCGTCGTCATTAATATCAGTATCATCATCATCATCGTCATTATTATTATTATTATTATTTTACCTTCACAGTCTGGTCATCGTACATGATCCACTGTTCATGACTATGACTGTATGCAAAACAGTGATAATGCTGTCCATAGTAGCAGACCTAAAGAGAGAGAAGAGCGACCACCGATTAGATCCCTACCCCTTTTTAAAAAATGATTCAAAGCTATTTAAAAAACTATTATCACATTTAATGTAGGATTATAATATCTTCATTTGACCAGTAACAGAAAGCAATTTTTTCAGAATCAGAAGAGACAGCAGTCGCTAATAAGAAAATGGGTTCACACCAGCATAAAATGATCAACTATATTATTACTATAAGGAGGTTTACCACTGAAACAAGGCAATGTTTGATTTTTGGATCAAGACCGCGATAGAGAACACTGATATCTATCTCAGTAGATAAGGCTGCTAATGTACCCTTTATGTCTTCAACACTCTCACAAGTATTCTGCCAGCCCAAAACTGCAAGAAAGAGACCAACATTAAAATCAAATATCACAATAAGCAAACCACTTTTGGCCTTCACTTTTCTTCCCTGTTAGAAGAAATTTTACTCAGATGTCTTCTCAGTGCTGCAACTCTTGAAAGCACCAGACAGGGTAAACATATAGTAGATTTATGGAGACCCATATGGAGTCATATGGGGTATTGTGGCACCATGATCGCTACCCATTTTTTAGTGGGCTCCCCTTTAAAAAATGGGTAGTGAAGATGGTGCCACAATACCTCATATGCCTCTATAAGGGAGTCATATGGGTCTCTAAATTTTTTGGTAAACAGATGAGAGTACCTGTGGTGAAAACATGTGGACGAGTGGAGAGGAAATGGTGGATGTGGTTATGTTTCCCACATCCACCAGCATCTGGATCACATGCCAACTGGTGGTTCATCTCGACAAGATTCAGCAGCTCATCAAAGGAGTTATCTTGGCACATAACCTGAAAAGGAAACGGATGTAGTTTTGTGAAGTAGACCCATACAAAGCAGTGAACTACTCGTTGGTCCTAGAACAGCTTTTGCAATTATTACATCCAAATAACATGCCTTCATTGTCCGGAGAGCACTTGCATTAATATTGTGAAAGAAAGAGGTATATTTCAGATGTCTAGACTCTAATCCACATTGGTAGCAGTTCATCCGTTCAAAAACATCCATTCCAAAAAGAGAATGTACAATACAAGCACGGTTTGTGCAATCCCATGAATCCAAACAGCTGCTACTGTCTGCTGATTCCGAATCACAAGCACCCAAAACTGATGTAAATGATTGGTGCAGGCAATCAAATATCACATCCAGCACTTCAGAAGCATCATTCATCTGGCCCTGCACATAAAAGTTGGTTGAATCAGCATTTTGAGGCGGGTGGGATACAGACAGGCTTAAGATGTAAAACTGTACAACAACAAAATCCAAGCCTTACTCCCAAAAGAGTTTGGAGTCGCCTAACAGTGGCGATAAGATGTAAAACAGTGACGATAGTAACTTTGATTTACCTCCTGGAAAAAGTTACTATCAGGATACAAGTTGCTCAAGGCAATCCTCAGTGAATTAGGAGCAATTGCATCTTTTCGTGTTTCTGACGATGATGCCAAACTCAAAGCAGTAAAGATATCATATAAAGAACATGTGACGCATGGATCGCCAACATGATTGTGCTCTGGAGAAGATCTCAAGAATTCACCTCGAAACTGTCTTAGATGCCACAGTGACTGAGATTTAACACAAAAGCAAACTTCTCAGATACAACACCCCAAAATCAGTCACACGAAGAAAATCTGAACAAATCATGAACTAAGATTAATAGATTCTTCACTAGGCACCTGAATAATAACATTTAGGAAGCAATTGTATTCACCAACTTCATTCTTAAGCCCTGTTCCATATACATCAATCCCATTAACAGCAGTTCCAGAAGCAGTATCCTCATACGGAGCTCCTGTACCAGCGGGCTCAGAGAACATACGGACTGGTGTACTAGAATGAGGTAATGGAAACTTTTGATGCGCATGGAAAGTGTCTGTCAAATTTTGAGATCAACTCTCGAGGGTAAGTCTTCATTCAGAAGTAAAAGATTGAAGTACTATAAAATCTGGGGATGAATAAACTACAGAAAACAGATTATATAAAAGGGATACTGTAGTGTTTTGGAATAACAGTTTAGACAACTGATTGTGCAAAGAGATTCAGTGAAAAAGTGTGTACCATAATGAAGCTGTTTTGGTTTGAAACATTGGATACACCAGTTGATTAGAAACTCTTATTCAACTCACTCACCATGGCATGTGCAAGGAAATTTTACTAAAACCGTAAGTTGAAAAAACTATTGTTTTCTTTCACAACAGCTTTATTAATCAAACCTTACACAGTAGTTAATGGAGATAATGATAACACAGCTAATATTAGTCAACCCCATTTTAGAAGCTACACAGAATTAGTAACTGAAGCTACAAGGCTTGCCAGTAACTAAAAATAAGAAGACAATATAGCCATATAGGCAAGTAAACCTATTATGGTATTAAAAAAAGCTTAACAAACATCAAAACACAGAACACACAGGAGTATGTGACATACCCACACAGGGAAGAGGCAATGAAAGAAACAACCGTAAAATATACAACAACAACCAATGAAGAAAGGGGAGACAGACAAACATACCAAGGCTTTGTCGTACAGCTGTCTTAAGATCAGCTTGAAACCTTTCTTCGTCATCATCCACCACTTGCTGCCTCGAAGTCTTTGGGTCACTATCTTCAGAATGCTTTTTTTCTGTATTGCGAACAGAAATTGGGTCACCCATTAGCACGAAACAATCAAGTGCACATGTCTATTAGGTAATCATTATTAATATTTGAAACAGAAGCGTGCAATTATACTTTACCATGTCAGCACTAACCAAGAGTATACTGCTCAATTTTTGTTGGTAACGCTAACAGAAGCGTGCAAAGAAGATAGACCAAATGTGTATTAATCAGCGGTTGGGTTTGGATTTTGTTGAGATCCCAAACTACCTAGGTTTAGGCTTTTGAGATTCTACTCGTTTTTTACCTTGTATCATTCCTTGGTTATGTAAAATATCATGATACTAACAGTTGAATTAGTGATGCCCTAAATTAACACAGTGACTAAAACACTAATATAATCCTAATTACTACCTCCGTCCCCCTAAGTTTGGGACAAGGGGGTATGGTGTGGTTTTTAAGAAAAAGTAGAATTGTGTGGTTGGTATTGAATTGATGAAGTGTGAATAAAGTAAGAATGAATTCTAACCACTCAAATATTACCAAATATGGTATGAGACAAACTTGGTGGGACGGACGAAAAAGGTAAAACGGGACAAACTTAGGGGGACGGAGGGAGTATGATATTATGCTAAATCGCACAACCACACAATATTCCTTTTTATCAGCCTTACCTGTGCACTGTTTTGCTGCCATAAGAAAACCTCGGGTCATCTGTCCAGCACATTGTAGCTAACACTTCCCACAATCAAACAGTTACAGTATCGCTAAAAATTGTATTGTGCCCCATGGAATTGATTTGAGGTTTGGGTATGAGTTCGCAGACAAAGCAACACTGGGAGCCATTTAGAAAGCTTATCGGACCTTCACCTTGTTGGTGGGAATCACTCTCGGAGATATTTATATTTGGTATTTTGAAATTAGCAGATTTGTACTTCCAAAAAAGTAGAGTGGGTTGTGTAGTTTATGGGAGATCATATTACATATTTCCTACACTTTGCAGCCAACATAATAATTGAAAATTAAAGACATCGCTTAGTGGGCTAGTGGAGTAGTGGCCTTCACAGTCTCTCTTGTTGCAGTATCATGAGGACCCAATTGTCATGATAAGTGGCATACAAGACCTTCTGCTTGTGAGAATCAATAATTGGAGAGGCGGATGAGGGAAAAGCCATCAGCAAGCAGCAAGTCAGCACCCATCTTACTTGAGAAGGATAGAATGTGGACAGCTATTGGGAAATAGGAAATGGAATCATTTATGTGGAATGCCATACATCAGGCTCTTCTTGCTGAAAGCCTAAAGCTGAGCAATTGCATGAAACAATGGAAGTCTGTTGGCTGAAATTGTAAAAAATAACACGGTATCCAGTATCCACCTGTGAGAGCTTAAGAGGTGCCATATAATTGGCTACATAGCATTATGATATCGCCAGCAGTCCAACATGCAGATCTGAAAACTAGAAGTGTACCATATCCCTTGGAAGATTATCCATGTCATATGGGGTTCCTCGGCACATCACAAAACAATTGAAATTTGGTACTACCAAAGGTATGGTGTTCCTTCAAATTGAAGCTGGCAACCTAACTTTTTCTCAACTCAGTGAAAGTGCTGTGAAATAAAAGTTCACAACAGTATAACTAAACTAGATTAACATCCTAGCCAGAGATGGGTAGAAAGTCTAACTTCGGGTACTTTGATTGTAATGTTTCGTCCATGAGATTGGAGTAGTTGATGTTGGTTAGATGAACATTCTTTGCAATGAAATTTGTTAACTTCAGAGTTAGAAAAAGATTGAACCGGTCAAATAACAATAGAAATATAGAATTGATTGCCAAGTCATTATACCGCAAATCGAGTGAATCTCTTCAAGTCTTCTGTATCGGTTATTAGTTTGAACCAAAACTGAATCACCCCATTAACTATCAAGTGAGGATCTGAAGCCTCCATAGTGTTGGCACGTGTGGCGTGTGCAGCCAGTTCTCACTGAAGAGTGCTTTGTGAGGTTCCTTTCCTTTCACCCTCTTGTTGAAGTGTTGTTTTCGGCTTTTTCTTTTCATCCCGAAGTATGTAATATTCTATTAACTAACTGAAGGGCATCACTTAGACCTCCACGACTTTTTACTTTTTAGTTACTGTGAGCGGTTATGTCACTCCATTTCTTAAGAATTTTGTTAGTAGAGTTATGCTAGAGGTACACAAACTCTTACAAAAGTCTTACAAAAGGTGTATGTGGCAGCTTCACATTATTTAACACATCACATCACTTTTGCATCAAAGGTAATAAGAATAGCCACATCACTAGTGTATAAGTTTTTTTGTAAGTGTGTTTGTACTTCTAGCTTTTTTCTTGTTAGTATGGGAAATTGATTCGGGCTAAATGCTTTCACCAAGGAATATTTAAAAATCTACTAATGATAATTTATTAACCGGAAATTGGTAAATTGATTTCAAATTCTTAACTATAAATATAATAGAATAACTAAAATGAAATATTTTCTTAAACAAAATCAATAAAATTAAATCCATTTTTTCTGATATGGCAAGATTAATCCACCTAGGCTTAAATAAGAAGTAGCAGGAATACTATGTTATCTTCATGTTTCTCTAAGACTTGGGGGTGTTATAAGGCAGCTAATCTGCTACAAGACCTGCTTTATTGTGCAGATTAGAATGCTAGGCAATGAAGAAATACTTAATAAAGAACATCAGTGTTGCACATATATGTGTGTTAAGATGGATGTTTGGTAAGACTAGAAAAGATGACGTGTGCAACAAAGAAATTCAAGATAGAGTGTTGCAGCGAAGATAGAAAGTAAAGGCGAACCAGTTGCATTGGTAAGTGGTAATGGGAGACTGGATTGGCATCAATAATTGGATAGTGTTATCTTAGGCAACAAGATGACACTGGCTATGAAGAAGAGACCATATGCAAATTGTTAAATTTTCATCAAAATAATAGGGTAAACACCAGTGCTAACCTAGTGAGTCATCCAAAGATCTCGCTTCATCAACTTCAGTATTTTCCCCTCCTGGAGGAACTGCTTGGTTCTTCTCGTCATTATGTTTAATGGAACCTTTTTGGCGCCTACTCCGCCTTCCTGCCTGTCGATCAGAAATTGAAGTGCTCTCCTCAGAAAATCTTCCATTAGAAAATCCTGAACAAAATGAAAAAAATAAGATTTATAATGGCATCTTAAAAAAAACAGGCAACTATCTCGTACAAGTGTAGATTCTAAAGAACAAAGGCAATACCAGCTGTATGTATATCTGAATCCATGGTGTTCATTGGAAGGGCTGCTAAAGTGCATAGAGAACCATTATTCTGACGCAACACTTCCTAAAATTACAATCCATCATGATATAGTTATTTACGCTGAGCTATTTATACATGTGGCTAGGCATCCTCCAAAAAACAAAAATTTGGAGGTCCTAAATAAAAAGGGGCCATATTATCATAGTTTAGCAGGTATGTAAACACACATACACATGTATATACATGCAACCACACACAAGTATGTATATACATGCATACACACATGTGTGTAGATATGTATATATGTATTTGTGTATGTATATGTGTGTGTGCCTGTATATATAGGCCCACAAAATCTTTACCTGAGTATTCCTCTGCGGTTTATTGACAACTTGATCTTGCTCCTCGTTGCACTTTAAAACATTATTATGCATTGCAGTAGCAGGAATCTCCAGATGCGTACTGGAAACCTTTTTATGCTGTTCAGCAAGATGCTTTAGTTTAGCCTCATTTTCAATTCGTCTTTGATACTCCAAAGTTTCTTCAAGCTTTCTTTCCTCAGCTTCAAGCTCAACTCTGCGCTTTTGTTCCTCCTCCTCCTGACTTACAGAGTTTTCGCTGTCCACAGTGGCATGTTCTGCCTCTTCCTTGCCTCCTCCATCATGAGCAACATATAGTGAGCTACCAAAGCATAAGAGTATTGAGAACATTAAGAAAATATAGACCTTTCTTCGGAGTATTAGCAGTTCACTGTGTGTAAATGTATTTAAAATGTTATGGAGACATTACGTTTCTTCAGTAGTTTCGGGGTGAAGAGCTTGCAGTCCATTCCCATTAGAATTCTGAAAAGATCACAGGTTACCTATCAATTTTGTTCCTGAAAGTGACTACTTCCATAAAAAGAATAATCAAAAGATAGAATGACACTGAGGTTCAAACCTTTGAATCCTTATTTTTTCTATGTTCCTTAATCTTTTTCTTATCCTTTGACTTTTCATGGGAATGTTTTGCATTATCACTTCCTCCATTAAAGCTTTTCTTGGAATCAAGAGCAAGTTCTGCCAGAAATGCTTCTCTTGCAGCATCAGATTTCTCTGTGGCATCTCTCTCAGCTAGATCCTCTAACTGCGCCTGCAGAAAAAATGGTCTGGCCTCATCATTTAAATCAACAGAATTGAAGAGAAAGGAAAAGAATGGAAACTTTCAAGCAGAATGTAATCAGTTGCATACCCGCAGATATGACTTCACTTGAGAGACTAAGATCTGCCTGTAATCATAGGCAGATACAGACTCAAGCTGAACTTCCAACTGTTGCATCCCACTAACCACTCGCATGATTCTTGCATCAATTTTGCTCAGCTGCATTAAGGAGAACGTTAAAATAAAAGAATGCCGAGAGATTGTTAGTGCATTTTGTCGCTGAAATAACAATGACTAGTTCACAAACCTCAACCGACACATGTTCCTTTTGTCGCTGTATTGCAACTTCTACACATGAGTCTGCCTGAGCGAGGTAGTCTTTTACCCTCCAATCATCATCATGCCCAGATTCCAAATCACAAAGATGAGATGCAATACCTCCATATGTATCTTCAAATCCAAACTGATTAACATTAAGAGAGTCTGCATCTTTCAGCACACTTGAAATTGCTTCAATCTCAAATCTGTAGTTGGAACTAGTAGCATCATGATGATTTTCCACAAGAACCTCTCGTCGCTTCTTCAAGGCAACATCATAACTTTGGTGGACTAAGTCTATCGTGTGCTCTCTTTTCTTACCTTCTTCTAAACACATATCTTCAACCGCCTGTAAAGCCTCCTCATAACTTAGATGTTCACATTTTCTCTCGCACAAGCCCTGAAGTTCATAAAATTCCTTCTCAAGTAATCTTACAATTTCCAAGGCCTGTTGGGTTTTCTCTTCTCTTGTGCGTGTCCAGGATGTCAACTGCTCAGCACTAGATCTACCCATAAAAATCCATGATAACAATTCATCAGAATCACATAAACCCTCATTATCAATTCGGATGTTAGAAGAAATTGCTGCAGAGTTGAGATCAGTGAGAGCACCATCATGAAACGCGCTGGGACTAAGCCTGCATGCCTTGAAATACTCATCAAACAACAAACAAGAACCATCGTCACTCAAAGAAATGTTCACCACATCATCAACTCCTCGACTATTACTACTAGTATCAACTATAACAGTACTTCTCTCAGGATACCTACCGAGGCCACTAGAATGGGAAAGTTCCTGAAGAAATTTCAATATTTTCTTAAGTTCCTGAGCACCTAAGAAGCAAATACACAAAGGAGACTGACGAATATTGTGGTTGAACAGCTGAGATCCATAACCAAGACTCTGCAGCTCCTCTAATGCAAAATGTATAACCTTGCTCAGATGACTAGAACCAAGGTATTTGTTTTTAATCAGCGCATGAAATACAGAACGTATCCTTTCAAGAAGCTTCTCCCGCTCTGGATCATCAGCTACTGGCCAGCTTTCAGAGGAGGCAAATATTTTGGCGACTTCATTGCCATCATAGTCCATCCAATTATCTGTGATCTTATCATATCCTTTACTATCAACTGTACTTATGCGGCATCCATTCCCAAATGTCTTCTTGCTAGGTGAGCAATTCCATTCGTACCAATTATTGCAATTGGAGTTTGAAATGCCATCCTTAGACTCATCAAGACCATTCCCCCCATATGTGTTTTCTAGAAAACCATGCACTCGAGATTTTAATTGTTTTTCAATCATTGTTGCTACAGCATTAATATCTAATGGTTTCCAAGAACAGTTGAGAAGCAACTCAGCCCACTCATCTTCCACATTTTGAGGCAGTACTGACTGCAGCTTGGGAGACAAACTGCACATGTGCTCATTCATGACGTGCTGAATGTGCGACTCCGAGTCAACAAATCTTTCCTCACAGTGGCAACATGTCCAACACGTCCATGATTTCCTAGCTTCAACAAACAACAGAACTTCAGATATCACTTCATTTGCCAATCGATCCTTCAACAAGCGAAAATGGGATTTAAGCTCCACAATTTTCACCCGGAGCAACTTTTCTTTCATATCCTTACTCATTGAATTCCAATAGGAGCGCACAGAGTCCATTCTCTCCATGGAAGACACGCTCTTCCTCACATTTCCACCTTTCCGTCTCTCATTTCCCCTCTGTACTGGCCCAGCCGGTGATTCCAAACTCCTGTCCCCATCATTTAATTTTGTGGTTGATTCTGATTTCTGCTGCATTAGTCTTGCAGCAGCCACTCGAACCTCGATCTCTTTCCTTCTCTCCTCAGGCGTCTTAGTAGCCTTCTTAATTTCATTGGGCTTTTTTGCCTGTACTATTCTTAATTCCATTGGATCCTCGGTCATCCTCCTAATTGGTATCAACCGAAACTTCTCCTCACCGGCTCCAAAATTTTTCACCCAGGTTGAAATAGATGCAATGTTACACCTCTGAATCAATGTCCTAATCTCAGCCTGCACATGAGATATCCTAGCCTCAGCAGTGGTCGCCTTCTGTTGGCTCTCCTGTAAGCTCTCCTTTGCAGGATCAACTGGGTTTTCAATTGCCAGTGCCCTCTCACATTCCTGAACAACCTCCTCATACCCCTTACTCTCGTTCGCAGCCTCAAACAACAAGTTGGAATAGAAATGCGCAAACTCAATCGAATTAGGGGCAAGCATGACTGCCTTTCTAGCACTGTCCAATGCATTCTTCAAATGCCTGTTCTTCACATTGGGGTCATCAATAATGGATGCCACTTTCACACAAACAGTGCCTTGGACACGGTGAATCAAAGCCAAGTTTGTTGGGTTATCATGCTTGGCACCCAAGTCCCTCATCAACCTGAGGGCTTTGGTGTGATTCCCTCTGCGCAGGGAGGTCAGTGCTCGCTCGCATTCAAGCTTGATATTAGCATATGAGGACGAAGCATTTGTCTCTGATTCAACTACCCCCCTGTCGTTCCGAATCAAGGAATTCTCAGTGACTGAATCGAGATTGTGGTCCAACTCCAGCGACTCTGGAAGGGGCGCCCCATCGACAGCAGCGGGGGAAGCCTCCAGCTGCGCAACTGAGGGTTTGGAGCGAGGACCGATCGGTCGCTTCTTGTGCCCCATCAATTTTCCCTATACCAATTCACGGAAATATATATACGCATCTACCTCTTTTATGCAATTAATAAACACGAAACTTTGTACTGATTATGTATCTGATAGACTCACTGACTGACTGACTGACTGACTACTCACTGTGAATGAAGAAGGAGAATAGATGGACGCCAGGAAGAGGTCAGAATCGATCGACTGCCCATCACCAGGAGGCTGGATACATACATATACATACATACAAGTATATATACTTACGTCCGGGTTAAAAAGGCAGTGAGAACCGGGGAAGAGGCGTGGTTTGGTGCATGTATGTAGAGCACTGAACCTGTAATCCTGTACACAGTGAGGAGAAAGACGAGTGACTTTGATCCGTCGACGAGGACAAAACAGGTTATTAATATCAAGGAGTACGTATTAGGTATGATGATGAGCATATTGATTTTGGGTTTAGGTTTTTATTTATTATTATTATTATTATCATGTGTGGCAATTAAGTCGAGGTTGGAATGCAATAAGGAACATTTTAATATATTTTTTATATTTTAAATAATTCATATTAAAAAATATTAATGGTTCGAGTCGATAGTCATTACTCAAGAAAAGTTAATTTGATTAACTTTTTCATGATGAAAGGAGTACTATTTTTTGGTTTGGTTGATTTAGTTCAATTTGATTCGGCTTGAATTTATTATTTTTTAATACCATATGGAGGTGTAATTGAATTTCTTTAGTTCGGTTTGGTTTTGTTTGGTTCAGTTCGATTTAATATGGTTTGAAATTAATATGACCAAACTCAAATCGAATTGTATATAGTTCGGTTTTTATTCGATTTAGTTCGATTTGGTGCGGTTCGGTTAAACCAAACTGAAATGTCCACCCCTAATAATAGGCCAATTCCAATTGGCACATTTTTGTACACATTTTTAATACATGTCCTTTATTTTGTCTATATATGAAGTATTAGAGAGTATGATATTATTGGTGAGGTTTATTCATCTTGGTTCAAGGGCGCAATACTTTGGGCATTCGTTGTATTTTTATGGGCTGGTTGTATTTTACATGCCAAGTTCTATTGATAAATTAGAACAAGTATGGTACACTCTTACTAAGACCGAGACTCAATCCTCTATTCTAAGCTGGAGGAATACAAAATTAAAGAAGTAGATAGAGAAGCTAATGTTATAGAATACAAGTTGACAACTTCCTATAATGAAATAAACTAGTTACTCAACCCGTGCGTTGCACGGGAGTGAGGTACGTACATAAAAGTGTAGATGAATTTTATATAAAGTATAAAATAAAATAAAAATCATATGAAGTATTTAATAGGAAATTAAAAATAATTTTTGATTCATTTATACAACTTCTCACACGGAGTGAGTTTCAGTGATTACTCTAGGCCCCCCAGACCTCCTCTGGAGTAAAACAAAAAACAAAATACAACTTATCACACACATTCATCTAGCTTGCTTAGCTTGTTACAAAACTTAGATCAAGTACATGCACTATTGACCAAGAACCATGAAACAAACAATTCCTTTCGGTAACCTAATACATTAATTACTTCATAAGATCTAATGATATCATCGCACAATCTAAGCATTTATATATTTTTCATTTTGTATATGGAATATCCCTAAAAGACTTTTTTACCTGTTTACTTGAGAACAACATGCATCATGCATGGAAGCTCTTTCATAAAATTACTTGCCTTGAGGGAAGCCATTGTAGTTTGTCATGTTCTATATCTTCAACACAAAGCCTGAAAACATGACCCTGCACATTAGCTTTGTACAATACCTAAATTAGTAAAAAACAAATTACTCAAATAATGAAACGGGAATGAAAAAAGAGGTTCAATACTACAAATTTCCTTTAAAATGCTTAGCATTTTAGGGGAAATGCATTAGTAATTCGGACAAATACACAACAATGCAACATGTACTACATCTAAAGTTTAATCTTGATAAAATAAAGCAATGAGGTTTTTAAAATTTTGAGGATTATTTGAATTGAGAAAAGGAATAATGAAAATGAAGTGCACTTATCACTTCTTACCATTAGAAAAAAAATCCGTTTTTAAAAATTTTATTACCATCATTGTGTAATAAAATCATAGCATAAGAACTGAGAAGATAATAAAAAGATATATAGAAAAGCCCATTTATTTCTTTGGTTCATTTTTGTTTTTCCTTTTTGCAATTTATTAATTATATTTTCTCAATAATTGGAGATTATGCTGACCATTTTATAAAGCACTAAAATTGCAAACTCATCACTCTTCATTGCACTATTGTAAACATTCTACCTATTGTTTTCTATTTTCGTTTTAGGTTGTCTGCACTTTCCTCTTCTATCCATTATGAGAAATAAAATAAAGCTTTTTATGAAGAAGAAAATAAACCAGTTTTACTAAAAAAATCCAAAAAAAAACACAAATTTGATCTACTAACCATTACAATGTTTTAAAAAAAATAGTTCGATAATAGAATAATCAAAAGAAAACAAAAGAAAAACACCCCTAAATAAGAAGCACATTTTATTCTATTCTTACCATTTATGTGTTAAATCTCAGCCTAAGAAGAGAATAAAAGAACAGATAAAAAGTTGCATATAATCTCTTGGCAAACAGCGTGTTTAAAAAAAATATACAAAGATGATAATAAAGGAAGGAGAATGTAATTTTATCCTCTTTCCATTAATGACTTTTAAAATCTTATTTAAAGAAGAAATGTAATAAATATTATTCTAAGGAATTATCATGATTTAAAAAGCAAGCCAAATATATTTGAAGATCATCTTGCATCCTGCCTAGCTTTGGCATGCATAGCAAACCAATCTGCTATGCATGAAATTCAATTATCTCTTTTGGAACTCATCACTTTTTCATTGCCTATACCCTCCCCATAGAGTCTACCGCTCAAGTTTGCAGAAGCATGTTGTTTAGCTTCAGCTGCTGCAGTCTTTATTCGGGCCTCAAACTGACTTTGCCCCAACACTCTGAGATAACTTATCTGGCTGTATCACTTCCAAGCCTTTAGCTGTCTGGTTCATCATACCGAGAGCAACATTGATCCTATCCCATATATGTTCATCTGGAACAACTTCAGGAGGTAAAATCAATTTCCTTCCAACCTAAAAACCATTAGGTAACTTCTTCAAAGTTTGGATTTGAACACAACCAATGGTACATAACTTCTAGCCACTTAGCTTGCTGAAGATGCCAAAAAGTTGAACCATGTGATGGATTGGAGCATCAGTAGCCCATGCCCGTAACCTAGAAGAACAAAATATATGAACCCCATTTTGCTTTACTTAAAAGAGAAGTGGGATAATTTAGACAGGGAGTAGCGGAAAGAAGCTGAGGATTGTGGTAGCAAAATAGCCATAATCAAACCTTCTGAGCACCATATTTTTCTTGCATGTAGTATCGAGAAGCTCTCTGACATGTGGTGGGCAAATAATAGTTTCAATTTATGAAAACTGAAAAGGAAAAGAATTTGGTCCATATACATTATATAAGGGAAAACTGCTATTTCACTTCTTGGGATCACAATGAAAATAAAGATTCACATTACTTTAAAGAGATAGAAGAGTTATAATCATTGTCTAATGTAAGGTGGAAGAAGTAGAGCCTTTTCCACAGAAAGGTTAAAGGTGAAAAGCAAAAACAATTAAATAGCAAACTCAGTGAGCTAAAATCTGCAGGCTAATGATTTTTTAGTAAAAAAAAAAAACTGTTTATCAAGGCACATTGGCTAGAAATAAATGATTATATATAATCAAATCCAGGATGTTTAACAGGATGCTCAAGCAAATCCAGGATTAAATGGAAATAAGAACCATTAGCCTGCAGATTATGGCCCGTTGAGTTTGCTGTCAAGAATTAAGAAAGCTATAACTGGAGCAATATGTAGTAACATTGCAGCACGAAATAAAAATGAGAATGAAAACTAAAACGAAACAATTGGGTGACTATATTGCAAGTATGAACTATGAGCATCATTATTTAAAGTAAACCGCAGAACTTCAGATGATAAATTAATAAATTATCATGATATGAACTATGAGCATCATTATTCAAAGAAAGCCACAGATCTTCATATGATAAATCAATAAATTATCATTAAGAAGATATGCCAAGTATAAATATCATACCTGAGAGGCGCCTACAATTGGAGTGCACCTCACAAGTGAGTGAAAAACCTGAAAATATTGAAATATTCATATGAAGTTATAATGACATAGTTGTGGGTCTCAACTCTGACCAAAATGGGTCTTCAACTAAAATCCCTTTAACTAATTAGAAATTGAAAAAAATCCTAATTTATATGGATACCAATTTTAATTAATTAACTGGTGGAGATCAAGATACTTGAATGGAAGCCCTAACTTTAGAACTATAAGCCCCTAATTTAATTATAAGACTACCAAATCAAAGCTTCTTTCTATTAATTTTTAGGTGTCCTTCATTTAGTTCATATTATATATAGCTTGAATCTTGGAAGACGGAGAGGGATGCTACTAAGGTATACTTTTAAGGTATTGTTCATGCACTGCTTTTCTTATACACATAAATTTTCACTTCAACTTCTTACTTCATGAAACAAAAAAAATTTAACAAAAGTTAAAAAGAAGGTTATAAATTTATAATATGAAGTGCTTATAACCTTTGAAGACGTCAGGACCTTCTTCCCCCCTATGGAGATGACGGAAGACAAAATAAGAGAACGGTTGAAATGATGAAAAGAAGAGTAAAGTTCATCGTAGAAGTTAGGGATCGGTGATTAGGAAAGAAACTGAAATTGAAGAGGAAGAGAGGAAAGAAATCTGAACCGTGCAAATCATTTTAAAATGAAGGGTGGAGATGAATTTGTATTGCTATTAAGTATAAGGATGTTAGGGAAAGTTACCGAAATAGGATCAAAACAGTTTGAAAATTCCAAAATAGGACTGCCAAGTTTTTTATTCCCAAAATAGGAGTAATTACTGCCATGTTTGGAAAATACTGCCATGTTTGAAGTCTGGTACTGCCAAAACATGGTAGTAATTAGTCTTATTTTGGGAATAAAGACATGACAGTCCTATTTTGGAATTTTCAAACCTTTTTAGTCCTATTTCGGGTAATATTCTCTAAATGATACGAGTACTATTTATACCATCACGGGGTAGATGGGTGTGGTGACGTGGCGAACACTAGGTGGTTATCACCCAACCATATAATCTTCCGTATCTGATGCATTAAATACGCTTCCCGCCAAATCCTTGTTTTATCGCCAATATTCTGAGGCAGCAGGTCAAGAGCCCATTCATAGCGGTCTAGGCAATTTGCTTAGGGATATCGTGCTACGCGGCCCAAGCCGTGCGGGTAGTGTCGCTTAGGTCTAGGACCTTCACAAGCTTTCTG